CAGGTATCTTTCACTGTTAAGGTGAAATTATTGTTAAGATATTTATTATTGGGGTTTGGCTGTTTGCAGTTTCACTTCCTGCCACAGGGATTATATAATCCATGTGTAGTTAAGGCCATTGAGAATTTCTCTCTCTAGTGTTTTACTAAGAATTAATTTTGTTGAGCACAGCTGTCATTAGTGGCTTCTGCCCACTGTCTGACAAATGCTGTAGCATTTTTTTCAAAAGCTAATAATGTTCCCTTCCACAACCAAAATAGCAGATCAAGGAAGATACCAAGCACCTCCTTAATTTTATTATATGCTAGGGTTTGTCAGTTGTTGTCTCTTGGTTTGGATTTTTTTTCTTCTTAATTGGAGTGAGATTTCTCATGAATAATGAAATTAATGTCTTTTGCAGCCAAAATAAACACCATATGGTCAGGGAGAAAGGGACCAGGAAAAGATGAGGAAGGCGCAGCAGCAGCTGAAGCTGATAGGAGACAAAATGGACTGAAGGAAGCAGAGGGGCCAGGTGAGAACAGACCAAGTCCTGCCAGTGAGGGTGGGATCCCAGCACTGTTAACACCACTGTGAAAAGCACAGCATTGAACTGGAAATTCCAGTGAGGGTGGAGCCTCTGTGGAGTAACCTGTGTGTACAGTTACACACTGGGCACAGCTCATTTCTGCTCCTACAGGTGCTTGCATATTTGAGGGGACTGGGTGGCAGGTGAATGAGATAACACAAAAGCGCAGCAGACATCAGTTTGTGGGCTCCTAGTCATGGAAAGCTGGGGTGAAGAGGCTTTGTGCTTGCATTTGGAAATGATGGTAGGAGGTTCACTGTAGGCTGAGTGTTAATTGCCATCTTTCCCTTCCAGTTAATGACCAGGGATTCAGTAATGCTAAGTTGTGCTGTTATTTATGGATTTTGGGTGCTGTACCACAGGCTGTGCTGGCCCAAGCCATGCGTTTGTGGGACTGCCAGGTGTCCCTGCAGGGCATGGTGGAACAGGTGGGATTGCAGAGCACAACACCAGCACCTGGGTTTGTTGGCTCCTGGAGGAGAACTTGCCTTCACTGAAATGGCTCTTTCACATTAACACCCACAGAGCCCCAGGCAAACCTCAGCAGAGATTGAAAGGTGCATCTCCCTGCACAGACATTTGTGTTCCTGCCATTGTTTCATGCATCTGTAACGATGACCCCCACCAGCAAGTGCTTGTTTAGCCAACTCCAGAGCCTCTGCTGCAGCCCTCAAAGCTGCCTTTGAGCTGCTTGTGCAGGTGTGTGCAGGCTGAGGCTGCAGCTCCAGCCTGGCCAGGGCTCCCCGTGTCACCTGGGGTGTCACTGCCTGCTCCCTGTGTCACCTGCAGTGTCACTGCCTGCTCCCCGTGTCACCTGCGGTGTCACTGCCTGCTCCGGGAGCACTAGAGGGGGCCCTAGGACAGGGCAGGGAAGGGAGGGGAAAAGGGGAGGGGGACCAACCCCACCCCAAATGGATGTCCAAGATCTGTCCTGAAGCTACTGAGACCACAGTGCATTGCTGGGTTTGCCCCCATTGAGCTCCGAGGGCTTTGTGCTGCTGTGCCATATGTCCTTTGCATAATGTATGGTCTGGGTGAAGGCAGAGGGATGAGACTCCTCACAGGATTGTGTCCCTGGCCATGGCAACAAAAACCAAGAGCTTGCTTTGTCACCATTAATATTGACACAGGCAGGAAAACAGATCCACCATATACTTGCTTTTCATACAAAATCTGTTTGCCCCATGACTGTTTTTCCCTTTTTTTCTCCTCAGTGCCTGCATAAGAAGCCCATTGGGTGTTTCCATTTCCATCATGTGCTGTATGTTACACTGGGGTGTCAGGGGAATCTCCTGCCAGTCAGTCTTGTGTGAAATGGCTCCAATAACGTGTTCACCCTCGTCAGGGGGAATCCTGATTAGTTCAGCCCTGGTTCATGGCAGAGGTGTGGGGCTTGTGCCAGCACAGCTGAGCCCAGGAGTCAGTGACAAACATGCAACCTGTGGATCTGAGCAGTGCTTTGAGGTAGTTCTGTTCAAGTCAAATTCTAATCAGGGATGAAAATGTGTTTGAGAATGATGGAAGAGAGATGTGGTGTTCAAGCCTGGATAGAATCCTGTGAGGCAGGCTGTGTTATGTGGAGCAGCCCGAGGTGAGATCAGGTCCTGCAGCCATCTGGCAGCTCAGGAAAGGGAGCAGGGACGTGGAGCTGAGGCCACTGACTGCAGAATCAAAAACCAAATCCCTTCTACCAAGGGGAAGAGTGAAATCACACTTCTGCCTGCGTGCAAGATTTATCTGCACAATTAAATGGTTGTGTCTGTAGCTGGTGGAAAAACATGCCATTATATAATCCCAGTGGGAGGAACTCTGCAATGTCTCTGAGTGCATTGTCTTACTGAGGGAAGCTGCCTATCTAAAGCCAAGTCAACATATATGGTAAAAAGTAGTTTTTGCTCTCAGATTAGACACAGATATCCCCCTCTCTAGTTTTATTTCTCAGCCTATTTTTTTTCTTTCCCATCTCTTTCAGGGACCTTGCAAACAACAGTGAATTCCAGCATAAATGGAATATAAACAACGTTCATATATGGTATAAGCATATGAGAACCACACTGGAATGGTATTAATTTAATTTCAGTTGAGTGATTTAATAACTACAAGTGAAAGGCCATGGAACAGGACAAAGGTATTTTAGAAACAGTGCTTCCTGTGAGAATGCTGAATTATTACATTTATTACAGATACCCACAGTTAGCCTCTGTATTCACATTCCTCTCATTTTGCTCCTCTGAGGTGGCTGACAGATACAGAGGGCTGTTCACAAGGAATAATATGGAACTGAGTTTTATCTGCAATATGCATTGCATGAACTATGATCTAATATAGCACTGAACACATACTGTTCAGTAATAATTAGTAAAGGATGTTGTATGAGCAGAAAAGCTTCATACTCAGAAGTGTTCTTTGATTCCTTGTAAGTCACACCAGAGATTTCATTTCCTTAAATTACACCCTAATGTGTGTGAACAAGTCACATTTTCTCTTCTAAATGCATGGATATATATAAAATGCAACTCTTTCAGTAAGATTGCAGTGATAATTTTCCCTTTAAGAGATGGCACTAGATGCTCAAAGAATTGCTTAACTTGTTAATTGAGCCACATACACTCACCAAGGAGCTCACCATGCTGTGTGGATGTCAGAAAGCAGTTTGAATATAGAAACTTGTCACTTAGGAATGTGTTGGCTGTAATTTAGATCTCCATTAGGTTTGAGTGGGTTAGGGGGAAAAAAAATTAAACTTTAGAAATCTGTAGTGGAAGTTCTGAGCTAACAACATCAATTTGCAATGCTGTGCCCTCAAGTCAGCAGCACAAGTCCCAGCAAATAACTTCTGCCATGGCTCTCCCAACAGACACCCTGCTGGAAGTGCTTCCTACACTTAATAAATAAATGGGCTTTCCTGGGAGCAAAACAAAGAGCTGAGTGTTCCCTCCCAGCAAGCAGCAGTGGCACAAGGTGATTTTTCAGTTTGCCTTGCTTGGAATGTAATAACAGCCTGGGATTGTGAAGTATTTCTGCAAAGAGAAATGGGAGGGTTCCTGCTCTGTGCTGCCATTGCTCTGCAGGCTGAGGAGGCCTTTGGGGGCAGCCAGGAGCAGAGCTGGCAGCTGCTGTTGCAGGGTGATGGGCACACAGTGGCGATCTGCAGGAGCCAGACCAGCCAGGTGCATTTCCTGCTGCACGCCTGCATGCACGGGAGGCTTTGCCCTGCCTCAAAATGGGTATTCCAGTGACCTGCACAGGGAGCCTCCCACGATGGCACATTTTACCAGGCTGTGCTTTCCCTTGGAAGCTGATAATAGAGCTGTTTTTCTCAGTGTAAGGATCTCAGGGGGTTCTGTGGTCTGGATGACCTGAGATGTGTTAGAAAGTCTCTTTTCCCAGCCTGGCAGTCAAAGAAGGAGTCAGGATTCTTCTGTTCTGGTTGTCAAGGTTGTTTATTTTCTGTTATCTGTAACATTCTTTCCCTGACCTGCTGAGGTCCGTTCAGCAGGTCAGTCTGTGCCACACTGACCACCTTCAGTGCAGTGTTGTCTTTTTATACTAAAAACTACATGTACATTATTTACAATAATTTTCCAATATCTATCACCTATGTTAGACAGTCTGTGTCTACCTTAAACCAATCCAAAAGTGCCACCATCACCCAGAAGATGGAGGCGAAGAAGAAGAAAGAAGAAGGACAAGGTACGCCTAAATCCCTCCATCTTGGCTTCTGAACTCTTATTCTAAAAACTCAAAATTCTACTTTTTTAATCTTGTAACAAACTATCTGTCATTCTACTTAAACTTTCCTGGCTTGTGAATCCTCTTATAAGGTTGGTAATTGTTTTTTGAGGAATGTCCTGGGTTCCAACATAAGGAAGATGAGAAAGCAGTGCAGGGTTCCTGCAAAGCCTGGGAGGGAGTTCAAACAAATTCATTGTTTAAATCCTGGATGTTCTGCACTGCCCCTCCCTTGGCACAGAGCTGTCCCTGGACGTGGATTGGAGCTGCTGAGAGCCAGACCAGGGCCTCAACCCCTGGGCAAAACTCAGCTGCTGTCTGCAGGTGTCACCCTCAAACTGGGGAGCTCACCTCCAGGTAACTGAGAATTCCATCAAAGTCTAAGAGTAAATAGTCTGTGCTTAAATGCACTCCTGCTGCATTTTATTTTTGAATAAGGTGAGCTTGGTGCAATGTCAGTGAAAGTCAGCAATGCCCAGAGTGTGGTAATGGCCAGGCTGGGTGTGTGGTCATGTTTCAGTTACAGCTCAGGCACAGACACAGCAGTGTCTCTTATCTGGTGCTATCAACACATGTGGGAAAGTATCTGGAAAGAACATGAAAATATAGAAATGCTATTTCCAAATGCAGACTGTCCCCTGGGAAGAGAGAGAGAGGAGGACAATGTTTATTCTTAAAGATGTGCCTGATTCAACAAGGTACCAAAACATAAACAGCTCCTCTTGACTTCAGTGAAGACAGCAAAGGGCAGCCTCAGGTTGTGCCACCCCAGGCCTGTGATGTGTACAGTTTCTTCAGTGACATAAATGATCTCTACAACTAAAATTTCCATGGAAAATAGCTGCTTTAAAATAAACAGATTTAACTTCCTTAATTCATGCAAACTCAAAAGTTCTCAGTTGACCACTGAAAAATGCAAAAGGCCAAGGAAAGGTGGAGATATCTCTGCTGGTTAAAAATTCAGCCCTAATTACTTCTCCCTGAAATGAGGGTGGCTGTGGCACATAGAGGAACTCTGCAGAACAACGAGTGGAAGTTCTGTTCAGTGACACCTGCCTTCATGTGATCCCTGAGGCAGTGTTTATTAGGAATATAATTTTCTTTAACAGCTTTTCTCCCCATCATCCCCAGTGGCTGATCCTCTTCCAGCAAGGAAATCCTGGTGGTTTCAGAACAGCAGCAGCAGAACTGGAGGAGAGAGGTTTGGAATAAGATGGACTTGGAGCTGGCTCATCCTTCCTGGGTTCTGTATCTGGGTTTTGTCAATATTCACTTTCTGCATCTATTTCATGGTAACACCACTGACTTATTGGTTAAATCATAAGTCAAAAGAACTCAATTTTACCTGAGATTTGAGATTTTCAGTTTATCTTCCATTTTCTGTCTCCATCAAATAGAAGCTACTTGTCCAAAACTGTCCCCCCTCCCCTAAATGAATTTGCAGCTAGGTCATTTTTCTATGTCATAAATTGTTTATAATTTTATTTTCTAGCCAGTTTAGGATAAAACTCTGGGGTTTGTCATCTTGAGTGATTGAATATGAGTATCCACTAGGAACCACACCCATAATTAAGTGAAATGAGAGCAACACAAAGTTACTGGGTTTTTGTAATGGTGAATAACTCCAAATAACTCAGAGCTTCCCACGAGCAGAGTTCTGGAGAGGACTAAAACGTGTCTGCTCATATTAGAGTAGAACATGCTCAGTTTTTTGGAGAATCCTTAGCTCTCAATGCTGAGAACTTACCATAGTGCAGTGTAGCAAAACCAAGGCTCTGTTCTAATTAAGATTTACTTGGATTTTTCAGTTTTTCCCATTCCCTGGCTGAAATTTCCTGTGTCTTGTAACCATTTAACAATATGTTACTAACCATCCATTATGTCCTGCTTTATTCTCTTTTAGATGAAAGAGCCATGTAAAAAAAAGAATTCTCCAGCCCCTGTGACTGAATTTGAGCGATAATGTCAATGGAATTAACACATTGCCAGTGTTGAATGGGCTCCTGTGGCTGTATAAACATCAAGGTAACACATTTCCAAAGCAGAAGACATTACTGCTGTGATACTGTTGTTTTGAGAATATTTCCTCACTGCCAAAACACTGATGTAGATTTAACATTTTGCCTGCTACGATGAGAATGATGCTGGAGTGGCAAGGGCTGATTCTGCTGATTTTATTTTCGCTGAATTCTGGTTTATTTGCTGAAGAAAATCTCTTACAGTGTTTGGTTAAATATGGAATGAGAGCATAAGTACATTGAGGTGTATTTAAGATGACCTCTGATTGGTAAATGCATTTAAATTAAGAGAGAATTTAGGGTTTCTTAGGGGCCTAATTCCATTTCTGAAGGAGACCTTCTGGAAAAGCTGGGGCAGAATGCTGTCAGGAAACCCAGAATCCATCAGCTTGGGCAGAGTTTGCTCAAGAATAACTGTCTCCCACACTATCTCCATCCATTAACATCATTTTTATTTCTGCAGACAGGAGCAGACTGAGGCTTGAATGCCCTTGGTATGTTGCTGAATAAGATGCAGGCTTCAGTTTTAACTTTGGGGATGGCACACAAATTGTAAAGCCAGGCTTGTCAGGAAACCTTTAAATGGTGCTAATCCCACTGCAGATCTGTTGGCACTGTCTCACCTGATGCAAGACAGGACTGACTGATGAGGATGTGGCACAGAAGCAGTTTGGGACTCCCTGGGTCACAAAATCAGAGAAGATGGCTGCACTGCAGAAGGCAGAGCTGGCCATTCAGGTAACACTGATGGTTTCCTTTATTCTGCTCCTGGTGCAAATTGAACAAGACCTATGTTTCTGCAGGAATGTTTTCATTTGTCTTCAGGCAACAAGAAATTCAGGCAGTAAGTGCTAAACCAGAACCTGACAGGTTCTGTTCCTAAATAATTGTTGTCATGTGAGTTTTACTTCGCTGCAAGGTTAAAGCCATTTTTAAACAATGAGTTGAGTTTGCTGCATTTCTACTCATCAGAGAGCATAACCCAGGTATTGAAGGGTGGGAAGTCAGTCTCAGGGCTGACCTTACTGGACAAAGTTGGGCATGTTCCTCTCCAGAATCCATGGGAGATGCCCACTGCCTCAAGCAGAGCTGTATCAGTTCTGGAAAAAAGGATTTCAGTTTGCAGAGCTGCATCTGGCACTCTGTGAGCATGAGGGCTGAGACAGAGGAGAGGGAGGCATTGTCCATCCCAGGTTGGGGCAAGAACAGCCCTAGGCTGGATTCCTCAAAGGAAAGGACTTCTCAGCACAGGCAATGTTCTGTTTCTGGCCTGCTCTTGGTTATCAAGGGATAGCAAAGAAAGTTGTGATGGAAAAAGGAGGAGCTGCCTGTGGCAGGAGTTTGTCAGCACACAGAAAATGACCTGGTGAACCATGACCACTGTGCAGGAGTTCAATGCACAGGGTGGGCATGGCTGTGTAACCTGAAGTTCTTTTCTCTCCCCTGAGGGCCCTTTGAAGCCCTCAGAAAACCCAGAGAACAGCTCATAAACTCTGTGCTTCGGAATTGCAGAGAAAATGCTTCTCCCATCCATGGATCAATCTTTGTCAGCTCTAACACACAATGGCTGGTGGCTTTAGTGTATCTCCACTGTCACCCAAAGGCACTTTGTGGGAAATGTCACCAGTGGCTCAATAACCTGTCCCCTGTCCCCTCATTCTGCCCTAAGCCCTGGAGTGCAAAGAGTGCCCTCCCAGGGCAGTGGTGTTCCTGTTGCAGCCTCACCTGCCCTGGGAGCCCATAGCTGGCCTGTTGTGAATTATGGTGTGCAGAAGCACAGGGCATGTGCAGTGCTGTGACCACAGTGAGGCAGTGAGCCAGCTTCCATCCCACTGGGAACAGCCTGGTCATGTGCCAGTACAACATCCATCCTTCCATGTGGCCCCTGGATCCATTTGAGGGTTCATAGGAATAAGAGAGCAGCAGATCCATCAGAGCCTCCTTTGCTGCTCACATGAAGGCAGGATTGCTCTCTGCAATGCCACTGGTGTGTGCACAAAGCCATTAAAAGCCTGATACAGGAAGGACTTTGTTCCTCTGCAAACAGGCTGCCCTTGCACAGCCACAGAGTTTTTCCCTGGATAGTCAAATTGCTTCTCTCTCATTTTCATCCCAACTAATGAAGATAATTATATCCCTTTGTAGAATATTAATTCCTCTGTCATCTGTGTGTTTACACCCTGCAGATGTGTTCATTTCTTCCTTGTGAACAGGGCCATCAATCATGGAAGCTTTCCTTCAGCACTTCTAATCTTTTCTGGTGTTCACCTCATCCAGTCTCCCTCCAGTTCCCAGTAGCTTTGATAATGAGGTGATAAGAGTTACATGTGGTTTTGCCACTTTGTTCTACAGCAGGCTCACAGAAAGAGGCCCTGCCACTTTCCTGCTCAGCTCTATGCTATTTTCACATATGTATTCTCTGGTTATATTTGTGGTTTTATTTTCAGCAAGGAAATCCCAGAAATTACCTCTGTAATGGAACCTCCTTACTATTACCATGTCTTTGTTGGTGGGTATGGCTGAACATCACTGTTCAAAACAGAAGTTTAAGAGATCTTCTCTTAAGGGAAGATCTGGAACTGGGGAGAATTCCAGAATTCAGCAATTCCTCCTTTGGGCAGCTTCTTCAGAGTATGTTGCAAAGTGAAGAGAAGGAGTAGTTCCATCTTGGAGGGGAAATACAAGGCAAAAAATGTCAGAAAGACATACTGGGGGACCATGTAAGGACTAAAATTTTGCTTTATGTTTCTGCCCTCCCTGGCTGCTGCCCTCCCTGGCTGCTGCTTTAGCCCTCCACTGGCTGCTGCTTTAGCCTGTCCACTCCTGTCCTGCAGAGCACAAACCCTCCAAGTCTAGTAGGTTCTCTCTGCACTGTCAGCAGTTATTTGGAAATGAAGGCCCTTGGTGGTGAGCCTAAATCTCCATCTCAGGCAGGCTCAGCTCACCAAGCCTGAGCCCAGCAGTAGCTGGAAACTGAAAGCAGTAACTGCAGTATTGAGGGTGGCAGAAACAGTGACCTCATTATTGATAACCATCTGATCTGTGCCCACAGGAATGCCTGCTCCCAAACCTGACTTTGATTTCCTCCTGCACACTCCCCAGCACTTTCCTGAGCAGAATTTATAAATATTTCTGTTGAATTTACATTGCATTGTTTATTTCTATGTTTGGTTGGCAGGCACAGGTCAGGCTGTGAAGTGGCAGTCATTTAAAAACAGTTTTGCCTCACAAATGCAAAGTTTGTGTTTTTAAGAGTGGCACCTATTAAGTGTATTGATGTTTGCAGGGTTAGAGAGGAGAAGAAATCTAAATCATTTATGCCTAAGGAGATAAAATCCAGTATTTTCAGCCTAATGCACTCATTGCACACCTCACACTCATTGCACACCTCTGTTATCCTCCTTCCAAGGAAAGCTTCTCTATATAACTCTTCTGACAGGACAAAGCCATGTGTCATCCCTTGCATTCTCAAGGAATTGCATCCCATCTATTTAAATCATTCAGGTGTCTGATGTTCTTAACCACTTAGAAGCATTTGTTCCATATAGTAGGGCTAATTTTTAATTTATTTTTCTAAGCACATCTATCCGAAATGATGCTAGGCTTTTATATTCACAGCAGGGAACATTGTGAGGTTTAAATATCCCTTTAATCACTAAGGATGTAATAAAAACAAGAGGAGTTCTTTGAGCTGCAGAGTGTTACCCAGGGAAAAATCTACTCTGGAGCTTACAAATGTGAGCTGAAGAGACAAACTGGGCAATAAAATCCACAACTACGGAGCAAACCCGCTAAAAGTTGGTCTGTAGCTGCCCATCAGCAGCTGAGACTCGAGGGGGGAAAAGGCCATTCAGCACCTCTAGAGCCATAAGAGCCAGGCCATAAACACTTCACAATCTGCTGGGGAGGGGGAGGGAGCTGGGCTGTGATCTACCCGCAGTCTGTACCCAGCCCTGCCTGCACAAAGAGTGAGCAGGAGAAATTTCACCATGGGAAGAATGAGGGAAAATTCTGGAGAGATGAGGGAGTGCAAGGAGAGGTGGCAGCTGTGTTTGATTGTGTCACTTTGTGTCCACTCATGGCAGCCTCATCCCAGTGCTGATTTGAGGAATCCATGAAATATGACAGGTGCTTTTTTTATTAGTGATGTTGAAGGATTCTTACCTAACTATTGTTATTATGGACCCAAATATCATTTTTCTGCGAGGTGATGAACAAGTTGGGTGAGAAAAAGTACAGCTCAGAGTTTATCCAAGGGCTTTCTTCTTAAAATCCATGTGTATTTTCAGCTCTTTGTTACTGACTTCAGACATATATATCAGCTTTCAGAAGCATCTTGCAGCATGTGTTGCATGAATCTGTCCTGGTGTTCATTTTATTTTTGGGAGGTCCTGTAAAGCTCAGCTCAGACTCTACAGGTCAGTCAGACATCCTGTGTGTTAGTTCCCTTGCTGCTGGGAGATGGATGTGCAGTTTTATGTATCCCATGGCTATATACATTTTTATAGCTCTTTTTCAAAGAAATTATAACTAATACTATAAAAGGAAAAGAAATACACAGTAATAAAATCTTACTAAAATGAAACGTGATTTATTGTAAGTGCTCTGAATCAAAATCTGCTGTGTATGGTTTAATTGTTCTCTTGTCATGATTTCTGGTAATGATAATTAACTTCCTCTGTAAGTTCTTTAGAGTCAATAGTGATGTTGGAGGAACTGAGCTCTACACAGTTCTGTAGAGCTCACAGCAGTTTTTATTTTTAAATTCCAAACACTTTAAATCTTAACAATTTTAATTTGCTCTTTGAAAGTAGATCCTCTGATAAGGAGGATGTTTATTGATTTCCTGGTTTGATTAGAACCTTACTGTGATGAACAGTTTGTGGAAACTTCCATATGACAGAAGAGACCTTTGCCAAACAAAGTAACTTGCACCCTAACTTGCACAATTCAAATCTGGTTTTTTACCTGTTGGTTTCATGACTTTACAAATGCCTGATCACCAACAAAATTAATCTTTTGTGGAAACCAAGGAACCATGACAGTGTATCAGCAATCCTGAAAATCCATGAAGTTTAGATAAAACCTTCTGGGTTTGAGCTGCTGCCTTTTTTCTGGAAACAATCAGCTTTTTAACAGACATTGCTGCAGTGTTGCCTGCTGGGCTTCTGCTCAGCAGAGTCCATTCTGACAGGGCTTTTGTCTGGTCTCAATTCATGGTTAAGTAAGCTGCCAGCAGTTTTTAAGATCTGCATGATGCTTCTCTTTGCATATGAGTGTGTGCACATGTGTACAAATATAGCAGTGTTTATAGAGGGGTGTTAAGCTGGAGTTCCTCGCTGCCTGTTTTGTCAGGCTGCTCCTTGTGGCTGAGAGCAGTGAGTTTGGGCAGAGTGGGAGGGCAGGTGAGGGGGGAAGGATGCAGGGCTGGGAGGGCAGTGCATGCAGTGCATTATTAGAATAAACTAATTAAGGGAAAATGCTCAGGCTCTTCATTTCTGCTCAGCCTTCCCTGGGTAAGAGCAGTGCCTTGAGCAAGGCATAACCTCAGTGCCTGATCCTCCTGGAAAGGAACTGCAGCTCAAGGCTGGGAATGCAGAAATTGGGCAGATGAATGATGTTATACCATCAAATGTGTTCGTTGTTATTCACATTCATCAGTGGCTGAAGGGAAGTGTTGCTGCAGCATTCCAGTGGGGAGAGCAAACTTTGCACAGACTGTCAATCACCCCCTTGGG